TCTTACCAAGTCTGTTTTTTTTCACATATTTCATCAAGAGTTTATACATACTTGATTTTAACTTCCTCTAGGCTTTTTCTATTATGAAGACTTCTAGGGTATTCATGCTTCTGTTTGTTGCTTCTTATGACACTTAGGTTGGTGAGTTTCCTTGTGGGCTTTCTAGTTTTAGTCAAAGAGATTACCTTCAGTGAGACTTTTTTTTTCATACTAGTTTTGAGAGCATCCCAGGTTGTTGAGGTATTGCTATGGGGCAGTTTTACTATAATTGATTTGAGCTTTCTGCATTGCTGGGTAGGAGGAATTGGACCTCCACACCTGTGTTTAGTACAAGCTTGGATCTCTGATCTCTAAGTGATTCTTGTTCCAACAGTGTTTTAGTGGGGTGGTCCTCCTCTGTGATACTGCCTAAGCCAGCGAGTGAAGGTTTATTAGTCCTTAATCAAAGATAGGACAACCTTTTGGATGATGGAGACACTTTCTAGCTCAAACCCATGCATTTAGCTTATGGCTTCAGTTTCTGTCCCCCGATAGGAATGAAAAACAAAGCACTTAATATGTGTATCTGATTTAGTTCCTCAGTTGTTTTTTGTTTGTTTCTGACATTTCTGTTTTTTAATAATCCAGAACTCAGTTGTGTGATGTAAATAACTTTGCTGTATTTTCCCAATATATTTTTTTTCTCTGCATCTGCTCAGTTGACCTCTTCACCAGAAGTTACTTATTTTATATTTCTGTAGCCCCTAGTGTCTTGTGTTGCACAAAGTGGAAAATAATTAGATATAGATTTACAACATTTAAAATGTATTTTAATGTTTAGTAACTGCAAAAATATTTTTTCTAGTTAGAAGAATTATAAGGCTAACAAGAAACCAGATCTGCTACATAGAAAGAAAGAAGCTTGAATTTGTTTTATTGTCATATAAAGTATTTGTAGTAGAAGTTTTAAAACACTTTCACAATATATGCATACTCTGGGAGGTAGAATCTTGACCCTCAAAGATGTCGGTATCCTGCTCCTTGGAACCTGTGAATATGTTATGTTGTATGGAAAGGTGGAAATAAGGTTGCCAGTGAAATTAAGGTTGCTGATCAGTTGACTTTAAGGGAGATATTCTGGATTTTCAGGTGGACCCATGTAGTCGCATACTTACTTTAAATGTGGAAGAGGGAAGCAGAAGAATCCGTGTCTGGGTGATATATCCTGAGAAGACTTGATAAGCCAATGCTGACTTTGAAGACGGAGGAAGGGGTCATGAGCCAAGGAATGCTGGAAGCATCTGGAAGCTGCGAAAGGCAAGAAAATAGATTCTTTTCTAGAGCCTCTGGACACACCCTTGGCGAAACCTTGATTTTTAGCCTAATGGGATCTATTTAGGACTTTTGACCCCCTTAACTGTAAGATAATAAATTTGTGTTGTTTCAGGCCACCAAGTTGGGGTAAGTTGTTACAGCAGCAATAGGAAATTAATTCATATACTCTGTGACCTGTGAGTTCCACTCCTAGGTATGGACTTAACAGAAATGTACTGAATGTATGTTTCAGCAAAATAAGTATAGTAGAATGTTTGAGTAGCATTTTTTGTAATATCCCAAAGCTGGAAATTACTCAAATACTCATCAGCAACCAAATAGATCAATGTGTTTTACACACTCTACAATACAATACAAGAGTAAGAGTGAACTGTCTACATCTGCATACAACAGTATGGATGGGTGTCACAAACATTACGTTAGTAAAAGAAATGAGACACAGAAAACGATGCATACTGATATGATTTGAATGTCTGTTCCCTCCATAACTCGTGTCGAAACTTAATCCCTAATGTGGGAATATTGAGAGATGCACAGCCTTTAAAAGGCAAGAGCCTTGAATGGATTAATCCATTTGTGGAGTAACAGATCAATGGGTAAATGGATTAATGAGTTATCGTGGGAGTGGAAATGGTGGCTTCATAAGAAGAGGAAGGAGACATGAGCCGACATGCTCAGCCCCCTCACCATGTGACACCTGTGGGCCTTGGGACTCTGCAGAGAGTTGCCACTTCAAGAAGGCCCTCACCAGATGTGTCCCATTCAACCTTGAACTTCTCAGCCTCCATAAGTGTAAGAAATAAATTCTTTTTATTTATAAATTACCCAGTTTCATGTGTTAATTATAAGCAACAGAAAATGGACAAAGACAAATACTCTGTAATTCCATTTGTAGAGTGCATAAAAAGAAACAGAAGGCCGGGCACGGTGGCTCATGTAATCCCAGAAGGCCTCCGAGCACTTTGGGAGGCTGAGGCAGGCGGATCATGAGGTCAGGAGATCGAGACCATCCTGGCTAACATGGTGAAACCCTGTCTCTACTAAAAATACAAAAAATTAGCCAGGCGTGGTGGCAGGTGCCTGTAGTCCCAGCTACTCAGGAGGCTGAGGCAGGAGAATGGCGTGAACCTGGGAGGTGGAGCTTGCAGCCAGCGGAGATTGTGCCACTGCACTCCAGCCTGGGCGACAGAGCGAGACTCCGTCTCAAAAAAAAAAAAAAAAAAAAAAAGAAAAGAAACAGAAGTCATCTATTGTGTTAGAAGATGGGACAACCATCAAGATTTGCCTTGATTGAAGTAGTGACCAAGGGGTACACATTCGTATGTTCTGTTTCTTGATTGGGATGCTAGTTACATGTGTTCAGTGCATGAAAATTTATTGAGCCGTGCCCTAAGCTATTATGCATTTTTTGCATGTATGTTACACTTCAATTTTTATTTATTTATTTATTTATTTTTTGAGACGGAGTCTAGCTCTGTCGCCCAGGCTGGAGTGCAGTGGCGCGATCTCAGCTCACTGCAAGCTCCGCCTCCCGGGTTCACGGCATTCTCCTGCCTCAGCCTCCCGGGTAGTTGGGACTACAGGCGCCCGCCACCTCGCCCGGCTAGATTTTTTTTTTGTATTTTCAGTAGAGACGGGGTTTCACCATGTTAGCCAGGATGGTCTCGATCTCCTGACCTCGTGATCCGCCCGTCTCGGCCTCCCAAAGTGCTGGCATTACGGACTTGAGCCACCGCACCCGGCGTTTTACACTTCAATTTTTAAAAAGAATATATTCCCAAACATCGTCCCATTTTCCAGCAGAGCCCTGCAGTGTATTCAGTGTGGGTGAGGCTGTGATTTGCCTTGGTCTCCTTGCCAGCTAAGCTGGAGAGTCAGATCTAGAACTTGTGTGACTGGATGACTTTTCCACTACTTCATTCTGACTTCTCGCCTATCACCGTATCAGATTAGAGAAAGTTTCCGTGGTACTAGTTTTTGATTTGCTGAATGAAAATTCTAATTAATAAATTCACAAAGATCTAATGCTATCCTGAAATGCTCCTAGTAGAGACATGTTCTAGCAACAAAATAGTTTGATTTTATTTCTGCATATAGTGTGTTTTCATGTCATTTAATGTAGTATGTCATTTTGGCAGCAGTGCTGGTTGTCATGATTCAAGTGCCAGTGTGTTAAAGATATTCCTGGAAGGCAATTTATTTTAACAGTGCTTAGTGGTGTGATATTAGGAACATTCAATTTTGGCAAGGTTTCAGAGAGGCATTTGTCGGGAAATCTGTTATAATGAGTATAGTCTGTCCTTCTCAATAAGCTATGAAGTAGTCTATTGTTTAAAATTTAGATTCCGGTTCTAGCTCTGCTACCAGCTAGTTACATGAGCTTAAGCAAGTCATTTATTTACACACATTCCCACTACCTGACAGTCAAATAAATATGTTAATATTACCCCTATGCATGAAACAGATGCTTTGCCACTATAATGCAGCCAGGGGCAGCAGCAATATGCTTTTAGAAATGGAGCCATTAGGTAAGGTGTTAAATTTTGGAGACAGACAAATTTCAGCTTTGCTGTTACTGGCAGTGTCACCTTGAGCTACTTCAGTGTAAAGGGGCCGTTGCCAAGCTGCCCCCATGTGCTTGGCACACAGTAAAAACTTAATACATGCAGTTACAGGGATGATGATAATTATGATTTGTTAAATGTCTTCATTGTTTTCTAAGGTTCTGAGCAAATGATTGCTGTTGAGGGAGTACGTAACGTGGTTACTTGGTGATGATATTCAGGGGCAAATGTGACCTCTAAATAAATAAATATGAGAACATATAAAATTCCTCCTATATGCTACCCCTAATGTTGAATTTTTGTTTTAAATATTCAAATATGTAGTGAAGTGTAGAGAATAAGAAAATGAACCACTCTACGCTGGCTGTCCAGATTTAATAATCTCAGTATTTTGCCACACTTGCTTCTGCTGTTTGAAAGAAACAAAGCATTGCAATTACACTGGAAGTCTCCTGTCCCCAAACCTGTGTATCTTCACCCCTCCTGAGACGTAATTGCTGTGCTGTCGGTTTCATTTTCAGCAGTGTTGTTACATTTTAACCTGATGTGTGTGTGTGTGTGTGTGTATATCTGAAAGCAAACATTACATAAATGATGTATGGGATGTATCATCCTGCACCCTGTTCTTTTGATTCACATATATTTTATAGAGTTATCTTTGATAGAATATATATCACTGTAACTCATTTAAGTGCTGTATAATATTCCATTTAAAAATATATCACAATTTATTTATTCATTTTCCTATTGATGGGTGTTTGGGTATTATCATATATTTCTTGTTACAGACAAAAGCCACGATAAACATTGTACCTTTTGCACATGTGCTAGAGGTTTTCTATCTATCTGGAAACAGCCAGGTTCTAGGCATGCGTAGTTCCAGCCTTACTCAGCTTTATTAGATATTCCCAAGTGCTTCATCAAGTAGGTGTACCAATTTTCACCTCCTCAGCAGGATGTGAGAACTCCTGGTGCTTGCATCACACTCACTTCCACACTTGGTGAGCCTTACTTTTACCCGTCATATTCCTGGGTAGAGGAGGGTATTTACGTTTAATATGCATTTCCCTGCTTTCTAGTAATAGTGTGTTTCTTTTTCTGTATTTATTATTTTTCCTTTTTCTAAGTATTGCCTGTATTCTTTTACAGTTATTTTGCCTAGTACATAACTGAAAGATCATGTATTGTAGCTACTACAGTTAAATCAGTGTCATTGGGAGGAGTAGACAAATTAATGCACATACAATGCTTAATGTACTCTCTGTCCTATAGTAAGAAGAACTTAATATTGCTGACGCCCCTAGAATGCCCAATAATGACATCAACAATAAAGATACTTATCAGTGGAACAGAACTTCAGACCTGGGCAACCATTCTACATTCCTCTTACATTGTAGCCGTGCAGTTGGATGTGAAAAGTGACCACCAGTAGATGATGACATCTCATAGCCCAGAGTGGGAAGCAGCCTTTCCTCCCCTACTCATTATCCATCTCTCTTGCTCATAGAACGCTGCTTTCCTTTAGGGGAATGATGAGAGAGGACTTAGGGTTTTCCAGGAGGCAGATCCTCCATTTCCCCATTGCTTTGTCCAAGAGTGCAGGAAGAAGATCTAAGACTGGTCAATTGGATGCTCTTTCCCAGGACTTTGGCTTGAGAGAGAGAGACTCTAGCAAGAAGGGAACAGGTAGAGTAATCAGTTCACTTATTCCAGAGGCGTCAGCAGTGAAAGAAATGGGGTGCCATGCTAATCAGGCTGGTTTAGCCATGGGATGTTTGGTCTGCCATCTGCTTTCTTGACCCCTTTGTTTCTGTCTGATCTTGAGTCTCCAAAGGTCATTATAGCACACAGTATGCTTTTGGGTCCATAGCTTGGCTCCCGCTTATAAGTGAGAATGTGTGGTATTTGGTTTTCCATTCCTGAGTTATGTCACTTAGAATAATGTCCTACAGCTCCATCCAAGTTGCTGCAAAAGACATTATCTCATTCATTTTTATGGCTGAGTGGTATTCCATGGTGTATATATACCACATTTTATTTATTCACCCACCGAACAATGGTACTTAGGTTGGTTCCATATCTTTGCAATTGTGAATCGTGCTTCAATAAACAGTGTATATGTCTTTTTGATATGACTTCTTTTCCTTTGAGTAGATACCCAGTAGTGGGATTGCTGAATTGAATAGTAGATCTTTTAGTTTTTTAAGAACTCTCCACAGTGTGGTCCATAGAGGTTGTATTAGCTTACATTCCTGCAAGCAGTGTATAAATGTCCTCTTTTCACCACATCCACACCAACATCTAATGTGTTATGATTTTTTAAAATAATCACCATTCTTGTAGGAGTAAGGTGATATTTCACTGTGGTTTTAATTTGCATTTTCCTGATGATTAATGTTGTTGAGCACTTTTTCATATGTTTGTTGGCTGCCTTTTGAGAAATGTCTAATCATGTCATCTGCCCACTTTTTGATGGGATTATTTGTTTTTTTCTTGCTGACTTGTTTGTGTTCCTTGTAGATTCTGGATATTAGTCCTTTGTTGGATGCATAGTTTGCAAATATCTTCTATTCTGTGGGTTATCTGTTTATTCTGTTGATTATGCCTTTTGCTGTACAGAAGCTTTTTTGCTTAATTAGGTCCTATTTATTTATTTTTGTTTTTGTTACATTTGCTTTTGGGGTTGTAGTCGTAAATTTTCTGCGTAGGCCAGTGTCTGCAAAAGATTTTCCAGGTTATGTTGTAGAATTTTCACAGCTTCAGGTTGTAGACTTAAGTCTTTGGTTATCTTTAGCTGATTTTTGTGTAAGGTGAGAGAGAGGGATCCTGTCTTGTTCTTCTACATGTGGCTATCCAGTTTTCCCAGCACCATTTATTAAATAGGGTGGCCCTTCCCCAGTTATGTTTTTGTATCCTTTGTTTGTTTGTATTTGGCTTTATTTCTGGGTTCTCTATACTGTTACATTGGTCCGCATGCCTATTTTTATACCAGTACCATGCTGTTTGGGTAACTATAGCCTTTTAGTACAATTTGAAGTTCAGTAATGTGATACCTCTGGATTTATTATTTTTGCTCAGGGTTGCTTTGGTTATTTGGCCCCATTTTTGGTTTCATGTGAATTTTAGGATTGTTTTTACTAATTCTGTGAAAAATAATGTTGGTATTTAGGTAGGAATTACATTGAATTTGTAGACTGTTTTGAGCAGTATGGTCATTTTTATGATATTGATCCTTCCAATTCATGAGCATGGGATGTATTTCCATTTGTGTCATCTGTGATTTCTTTCAGCAGTGTTTTGTAATTCTCTTCGTAGAGATCGTTCATCTCCTTGGTTGTGTGCAGCTATTGTAAAGGGGTTCGAGTTCCTGATTTGATTCTGCTTGGTCGTTGTTGGTGTATAGCAGTGCTATTGACTTACATACCTTGATTTTGTAACCTGAGACTTTACTGCATTAATGTATCAAATCTAGGAGACTTTTGGAGAAGTCTTTAGGGGTTTTTTAGATACACAGTCATTTGTTTTGATTTTGTCTCTTCCAATTTGGATGCTCTTTATTTCTTCCTCTTGACTGATTGCTCTGGCTATGATTCCAATACTCTGTTGAGTAGAAGGGATGAAAGCGAGCATCCTTGTTTTATTTCTCAGGGATGAATGCTTTCAACTTTTCCCCATTTAGTATGATGTTGTCTGTAAATTTGTCATACATGGCTCTTGTTATTTTGAGGTGTGTCCATTCTACGTCTAGTTTGTTGAGGGTTTTTATCATAAAGGGATACTGGAGTTTTTGCAGTTTGTTTTTTCTACCTATATTGAAATGATCATATGGCTTTTGTTTTTAATTCTGTTTATGTCATATATTACATTTATTAACTTTCATGTGTTAAACCATCCCTCCATTTCTGGAATAAAACCCACTTGTTCATGGTGTATTATCTTTTGACATGCTGTTAGATTTTGTTAGCTAGTGTTTTGTTGAGGATGTTTGCATCTATGTTCATCAGGGATATTGATCTGCAGTTTTCTTTTCCTTTATTTATTTATTTTTTTGATATGCCCTTTCCTGGTTTTGGTATCAGTGTTACTGGCTTCCTAGAATGAGTTAGGAAGGATTTCCTCTTTCTCAGTCTTTCAGAATAGTTTCAGTGGGATTGGCACCAGTTCTTCAAACATCTGGTAAAATTCAGCTGTGAATTCATCTGGCTCTGTGCTTTTTTTGTTGACATTTTAAATATTACTGATTCAAACTCATTGCTTGTTATTGGTCTGTTCAGGGTTTCTATTTCTTCCTGATTTAATCTAGGAGGTTGTATGTTTCTAGGAATTTATCCATTTCCTCTAAATTTTCTCGTTTGTGTGCACAGAGGTGTTAATATAGTCTCAAATGATTTTATATATTTCTATAGTTTTTGTTGTAATATCTTCATTTTCATTTCTAATTGAGTTTATTTGAATCTTTTCCTTTTTATGGTTAGTATTGCTAATAATGGTCTTATCAATTTTGTTCATAGTTTCAAAGAAGCAGCTTTTTGTTTAATTGACTTTTTTTTGCTGTTGTTGTCTCTGTTTCACTTAGTTCTGCTCTGATGTTTGTTGTTCCTTTTCTTCTGGTAGCTTTGGGTTTAGTTCTTCTTTCTGTAGTTCTTTGAGATGTGACATTAGGTTGTCAATTTGTGAACTTTCAGACATTCTTATGGTCATTAACATTGTAAACTATACTCTTAGCATTACTTTTGCTATATCCCAGAGGTATTAATAATCTGTGTCACTGTTGTCACTCATGTCAAAGAATTTTTAAATTTCCATCTTGGTTTCATTGTTAACCCCAAAATAATTCATGGGCAGATTGTTTAATTTCCATGTATTTATATTGTTTTGAGCGTTCTTTTTTGAGTTAATTTCCAATTTTATTCTACTGTGGTCTGAGAAGATAATATGATTTTAATATTTTAAAACATATCAAGACTTGTTTTGTGGCCTATTATATGGTCTATCTTGGAGAATGCTCCATATGCTGATGAGAAGAATGTATATTCTGCAGTTCTTTGGTAGAATGTTCTATAAATATATGTTAGGTTCATTTGTTCTGGCATGTAGTTTAATTCCATTGCTTCCTTGTTGACCTTCTGTCTCGATGATCTGTCTAGTGCTGTCAGTGGAGTGTCGAAGTCCCCCAGTATTATTGTGTTGCTGTTCTATCTTATTTTTCTGGTCTGGTAGTAATTGTTTTATTAATCTGGGAGCTCCAGAGTTAGGTTCATATAAATTTAGGATTGTAATATCCTCTTGTTGGATTGATCCTTTTATTATTATATAATGACCTTCGTTGTATTTTTTTTTACTATTGTTGTTTGAAATTCTGTTTTATCTGACATAAGGATAGCAACTCCTGCTAGCTTTTGGTTTCCATTTGTGTGGAATATCTTTTTTCACCCCTTTACCTTGAATTTATATGAATTTTTACGTATTAAGTGGGTTTCTTAAATATAGATATTTGGTTTGTGATTTTTCTATCCATTCTGCCAATCTGTATCTTTTAAGTGGAGCATTTACACCATTTACTTTCAACATTAATATTGAGATGTGAGGTCCTGTTGCAGTCCTTATATTAATTGTTACCTAGATGGTTTGTTTTCTTATTGTGTTATTGTTTTATAGGCCCTGTGAGTTTTATGCTTTCAAGAGATTCTATTCTAGTGCATATTGAGCTTCTGTTTGAAGATTTATAACTCCTTTTAACATTTCTCATAAGGCTGGTCTGGTAATGACAAATTCCCTCGGCATTTGTTGGTCTGAAAATTACTTTATTTCTCCTTCATTTATGAAACTTAGTTTTGCTGGATATAGTATTCTTGGCTCTCAGTTATTCTGTTTAAGGAGGCTAAAAATAAAATCCCAATTCCTTCTGGCTTTTAAGATTTCTGCCAAGAAGACTGCTGTTAGTTTGATAGATTTTTCTTTATATGTTACCTGTTGCATTTTGTCTCACTGCTCTTAGAATTCTTTCCTTCATGTTGATTAGATAGCTTGATGACTATATACCTTGGTGATGTTCTTTTTGCAGTGAGTCTCCCAGGAATTTTTTGAGCTTCTTGTGTCTGGACATCTAAATCTCTATCAAGACCAGGGATGTATTCTTCTGTTATTCCATCAAGTAATTTTTCTAAACATTTTGTTTTCTCTTCTCCTTCAGGAACACCAGTTATTTTTAGGATTGGACCTTTTACATAATCCCACATTCCTTGGAGAGTTTGTTAATTCTTTTTGATTTATTTTATTTTTTTTTGTTTTGTTTTTTTATTTATTTTTATTTTTTTTTTAATTATTTTTTATTATTATACTTTAAGTTCTAGGGTACATGTGTATAATGTGCAGGTTTGTTACATATGTATACTTGTGCCATGTTGCTGTGCTGCACCCATCAGCTCGTCAGCACCCATCAACTCATCATTTACATCAGGTATAACTCCCAATGCAATCCCTCCCCCCTCCCCCCTCCCCATGATAGACCCCGGTGTGTGATGTTAAATTTTTGTCTGATCGGGTGAACAAAAGCCTTATCTTCGAGCTCTGAAATTTTTTCTTTTACTTGGTCTAGTCTGTTGTTAAAACTTTCCACTGCATTTTTAAACTCCCTAAGTGTGTCTTTCATTTCCAGATGTTCTGATTGGTTTTTCTTTAAAATA